AATCAAGAGCAGAACAAGCGGAGCTGGAGAAATAGCTCAGTCACTAAAGTAACTGCAAAGCCTTAAAATATGAAGACTTGAGTTTGTTCCCCAGAACCTGTGTAAAAAACAGACAGCATTAGAGCTGGAGAGATAGTTCTGTGGTAAAGAGTGCTTATTGGTCTTCCAGACAACTGGCATTCAGTTCCCAGCACTCACGTTGGACAGCTCACAAATTGCCTAGAACTCCAGCTACAGAGGATCTAATGCCCTCTTCTGGCCTCTGTGAGCAACTTTGCACATGAGGTGTTAATTCACATAAAACATACAGACAGACAGGCACACACAGACACATACAGACGCACACACACACACACACACACACACACACACACACACACACACCATGATTGAAAAAAAAAAAAGGTGCACACTTGTAATTCTAGTGCTGGGAAGGTGAACATAGGATCTCTGGGGCTTTGCTAGGCAGCCAGCCTAGCCTTACTTGGCAATTTCCAGGTCAAACAGACCTGTCTCAAAAAAAAAGTAAGCAAAACCTGAGGAATGATACCTGAGGTTGTCTTCTAGCCACCCGTCCCCCTCCCCACATGCACATGTGCTCATGGGCACCCATACAACATGTACTCTTTGATATCACAAACACAGGAGGACACACACACACACACACACACACACACACACACACACACACAAAAGCAGGAAAGAGGAGAGTGGAAGAGCAGTTTACAATTCTACTTCTAGCTACAAAATTCTGAATGAACTTTTCTTTTTCTGTGCCCTGTGTTCACACTGCTACTGCCGTGTAATGTAACACTAAGCAAGAAGTGCCATATAGTTTGGGGTTGAATCAAGAGTCATTTATTAGCTGGCAGTGAGAGAGGAGGCTAATTTTGAAAGGAAATCTCAACCTCAACAAGAAGCAGGACAGGGTTTATAAAGCTTAAAACCATAATTATATCATGCCAGGGGCAAAGCCAATAGCCATAGTTACATTAGATCATCATAGTTACACCAGACCAGGGGCAGGTCAGTTAACAAAGAGATTTTCGGTTAACAAAATGTTTTGGTTAGAAAAAGCAAGTTTCTCAGGATTAGAGAGACAATGGGCTCCATGGAGATGCAGCTATAGCTGGGTAAGAGGATGTGGTACCTGGCTAGTTGGGAGTTTCCTAGTATTGTAGAAACAATGTACCCCCTGAAACTCCAAGTGTGGCCATCATGGATGACTGGCTCTGTTTGGCTGACTGCAGTTACAGTAGTGGGTGGGGGACAGCTAAGCGGAAAGACAGGGTGAAGCAAAAATCAGCTAGAACAAAATGGAGCCAACTTTATCATTTCAGTGCAAATCTTACACCTTTGAAAAGATGAGATCTTTTTACCACTGAACTGTATGGCACAGAATAGTTGCCTCTCCTACCACCTGTTATTCTCTACCCATTATTGTGTCCTCACCTTGTGCACATTTCCACAATCATATTTCCTGCTCTAGAGAGGCAACAAATCATCAGACAAGAACGCTGAATATCTCTGTAGGCCATCCTTTATAGTCCCTCATTCTCTCCATTGAAGAGATAATGTCCCTGCTTTTCTGCGTGTCCTTTCCAGCCTGGCTTCTAATTTCTTAACTTGCCCTGGAACCATAGTTCTCCTAACATCATCCTCATTCTAGAAGGCTCTTAGATGATCCCATTTTCCCTCACACCTTTAAAACTGCCATTAATATGTCCCTGCCCACCAGTTCTCCATGCAGAGTCCAAGCTTGTCTCCTGGGTTCTCTCTGCTGTCTAAATGCCTTCACTTGGTGGGTCTTTGGAACCTTCAAACACAACTGGTTAACTCATCTTTTACTCCCCAAATCTATTCCACCTTGTGTGATCTAGAGTTCATTAGTGAAATTGTCCACTCAAACCCTTAGCCTGGGAGAGAACCCTCACTCTCTCTTATATCCATTGGTCACTGCATTCTTTTTCTCTCTCAGTAGTCTCATGCATTTCCTGCTGAATACCCCTCTGTCACTGCCTGATCAGTTCATCATTTCTTGTCTCACTCTGGTCTTCTAACCAGCCCTCCTACCAGGATCACCACAAGTCTGATTACATTTCTTATTTGATTCAAAGTTTCCAGTACTTGACCTTTACTTTTGGAATTAAGGTGATTCAGCCAGACTTTAGGCCTGTCTGGTCCTTGGCATCATTGAGCTTCTGGTCTTAAAAGCTTTCTCACAAGAATCCTGAAGCCTGACTGGACTTCTTGTGGGTCCAGGCAACCAATGTCTTCATACAAGCTCTGTCTGGTGAGCTTCTGCCCATCCTATAGTTATGCAGAGGATAAAACTTGTGTAACTGATCTACACAAATTTTTTTTTTTCTTTTCTTGGACTGGAGAGATGGCTCAGCAGTTGGGAACAATGGCTGCTCTTGCAGAGGACCTGGGTTTGATTCCCAGCACCCATAAGGCTGCTGACAACCACCTGCAACTCCAGTTCCAGGGGAATATGATGACTTTTTCTGACCTCCTCAGGCATTGCATGACATGGGTGCACCTACATGCAGGCAATACACTCATACAACTAAAATTAAAAGTGTTTTTAAATTTATTTTCTTTTCTTACCAGTTTGCCATCTTGGAGCCATATGTCCCTCATTTTTGTGCTTTAGGACCTCCTATGTGCCATTCTTACTTGCTTACTCTCAGTTTAGGATAATTTTTTACTTAGATCATCAACTTCCCAAATGATCAAAGGTTATGTAACCATTTTTATTGTGAATTTGGAGAAAGTATAATTAGAATCAAAGTGTGAATTCTAATGGCATGTGAAAATCACCACCTCATAAAAGGGAGTGCATAGAATGGTATGTAGTTTTTGTGTTTATGTGGAATTTGGTGGAATCAATGTGAGATATTGCCTCAAAAGGCACATCAAATGCACTGACTGTGCACACTAATTAGACACTGCTATGCTGTGCTTTCTTCCATTTGCTGCAAAATCCATTTCTTGACTCTGCAATGCTTTATTTTGAGAGACTTAGAAAAAAGAGAAACAGAGCTTTTAAAAGAAGTTTATAGGGAGTCTTTTAAAAAGGTAATAAAGATGGGGCTGGAGAGATGGCTCAGCAGTTAAGAACACAGGCTGTTCTTGTAGAAGACCCAGGTTTGATTCCCAGCACCCACATGGCAACTAACAACTGTCTGTAACTCCAGTTCCGGGGGATCCAACCTTCTTCTGTCTTCCGTGGGGATTACACGACATGGGTGTGCTTACACACATACAGGCAATACACACAAACACATAAAATAAAAATAATAGATAAAAAAAGGGGGTTATAAAGAGCCAGGCGTGGTGGTGCAAGCCTTTAATCCCAGCACTCAGGAGGCAGAGGCAGAGGAGGTGGATCTTTGTGAGATCAAGGCTAGCCTGGTCTACATAATGAGTTCCAGGCCAGCTAGGGCTGCAGGGAGACCCTGTCTCTTTAGTGCTTTTCAGTAAAACATCAGGAATGTAAAAAAAAAAAAAAAAAACTTTAGAGAAATCTATTTCTTTCATACCTTTATTTTTTAGTGGAGAGGGCCCTAATAGAACAGAACTACATTAGAGAGCAAAAATTTCAGGGCCTTTTATTTTTTTGGTGTTGCTAGAGAAGAATGAAGAATGTCGGGGCCTGAATTATGCTGGCAAGCCCTGTCCCACTAAGATACCCCCAGCTCTCTCTTTCTTCATACACTATAAAATAGCACTTCCTTATAGCTATAATCTATTATTATTCTTGTTTTCTCTAAAAATACTTTTTACCTTTCTGATTTTTTTTGAGGTGATCATTACCACTATATCAACCTGAGGGACAAGGATCCAACCTACATCAGGGGTGGGATAGCCATCAGAACGTTTTTTCGTTATGAAATAAAACTAAAATATTTCATGCGTATGAAATATGCTACAAAAACACCCTTAAAATTGTACAAATTTCGGAATCAAAGTCAGTAAAAGTTTAGGATTATGGTTGGAAAGATGGCTCAGCCATTAGGAGCACTGGCTACTCTTCCAGAGGTCCTGGGTTTGGGTCTCAGCACCTACACATGGTGCCACCTAGACATGGCAGTTTGAGTCCCAGCACCTACACATGGAGTTACTGTATGTAACTCCAGTTCCAGGGGATCCAATACCATCTTCTGTCTTCCACTGTGTTTTCATGACACAGGTTCACTTACATGCATGCAGGCAAAATGCTCATAAATATAAAATAAAAAATAAATAAATCATTTTTAAAAAGTGTAGGCATTGCAGCCAGCAGGATGCTTGACTATCCATGTTGTATAGGAGCACTAGATGGGTGAGTTTTCCACAAATGCCACAGGAAGGGAAAAGTTATTCTACCAAGTTTCTTTGGTGAATACTTCAGAATCATTTAGAACAGACTGAAAGAGTTGATTTTCAGGAGAGCCAGTCATTTACATATATACAGCATATAATTTATAATAAAACACAGACAGGTATACTTTCCCCCAGTCCTTTGTCCAAAAGCCTTTCTTTTTTAAAACCTCTTTTATGTCATCAAATACAAAATACATGCAAGTATACCAAACAGGTATGTGCAGCTTGATTAGCACAAAGCACCTGCGTATGGAGCCATCCTTATGTTTGAGAAGGGAACGATGCCTTCACCAAATTTGCTGCTGCCACTGCTGTATGCCCCATAGTACTCATCATTCTGGCTAAAAGACTACAATGGTGATGCAAAAGAGACATGGGAAGCATGACCGTGAGAGGTCAGGGAGGAGTCTGCGGGCAGGTGCTGGAAAGGAACACAGGGCACTGCCATTTCTCTCAAAGCTTCTTGTAGGTATCACTTAGAGCTGTTGCAATAATATCTGCCACATGAGTTAAACGTTGTGATTATTTGGTTCCCCTAAGAGAGTACTAAATTCTTAACGACTCTTTTGAAGGTGACTACAGAGCTACACGTCTCTGATGCACAGTAGTAACTTGTTTCCACACAATTCCAGGACGTTAGCTTATTGCCAGTGGGTGGACAATCTCAATGAGACCCGGAAGATGCTGTCTCTTAGTGGTGGTGGTCCCTTCAATAACCTGCTCAGGTGGGTCGTGTGCCACATAACAAAAGGAATTGTGAAGCGCGAGATGCACGGCCACGGCATTGGCCGCTTCTCAGAGGAAGAGATTTACATGCTGATGGAGAAGGACATGCGGTCTTTAGCAGGGCTCTTGGGTAATGTACAATCCCTTCTATATTTTATGTCCTTACTTTTGCATGACAAATAGAGCACTGCTGGTTTGCTAACTTAACTTTGTTGGGGTTTTGCTCCCATGTGTAGGCTGCAGTCCTACCATGTAACCAAGTTAATGGTTAACCAAATTAACCAAGTTAATTTTAAAGAATATGGTCTACAGAATTTCTGATATTTGTCTATTCTTTGTGTGGCAAGCGAGGCCCAACATGCGTTTGTGTAGTGAGCTTCAGCATCTCAGCCTTACTGAGGGTGATGCTGGCATTTCTGAATGTGGTGAGAAAGGTTATTTTGAGCAAAGAAGATCTTCTACTTATAAACATGTCAGGCTTTTTATGAACACATCTGCTCAGAGGCTTGACTATGCCCATTGACAGCAAGTAAAATTTGACAGGCTTGACAGCAGCCAACTTTTGACCTGTTCTCTCTCTGTGAGACTACTTGTCATTTCCTTATTCATTCCATTTTGGTTCATATCCTTAGCCTTCTTCCTGGCATGTTTTAACCCTAATTTTGTATCTATCACACATCATGGATTTAATTGTGTTTGGAAGTCCCTCAAAGAGAGGCACGGAGTCATGTATGTCTATGGGCTGGTGAGGATGAAAGTACTCTTGCTCATGTGGCTGGCTGCAGGTGGCCGGGGCTGCTGTGGTTCTACACTGGGCTGAGCGACTCTTGGCTATGACAGTTCACAAGCAGACTGTTCTAACTGAGGACCCAGACGTGAAGCAATTAGTGCTCATGGGACCAAGCCCTCAATATGACTGCTGTTTTATTTTCAGAAGGTGGTTGTGTTCACTGGACCTCTGTTGGTGGCAATGATTTCTGGATGTATCCCCATCCCCATCCTAGAGAATGCTAGGTTCCTTGCCTCCATGAAGAAAAGAGTGTAGAGATTGTTTTGTTGAAACTTACCTGGTGCCCTGGGAGTTGGAGGTAGTGCTAGGTACAGCTTGTCTCTGAAGAATCATCTCCTTCGATTAATCCTTATTGTTCCATAGTCCAGATACTTGCTATACCTGGAATCCTCCCTTGAACCCCAGTCTCTGAGTGACAGATCCTGGCATCATATCCATATTTTGGTGTTTTTCTCTAGGGGATATAGTCTGTGGACCCTTGGCCTCAGATGGCTGGGTCCTCATCTGAACTATTTCTTCCTTAATAGTGGCTATATCTGTTTTCAGCCTTCTTGTCTTCCTCACTAGCTCATGCTATTGGGAACCCTAGAAAACAAGGAGTTGAATCCTTAGAATTATTATGGGAGAGATAATGCCAGTAAAAGCCCATTTATTTATTATTTATTATTTATTTTAACAATTTAACAAGAGCTGAGTGATTATCACCTTACAGGAGTGTTTCTGGTTGAGAGAAGTAGGGAGCAGGCTATAGCAGTAATAATGACTGACACTTTTTTTCTTATCATTTAATGACTTGACCAATGCTTTTGTCCTAATTTTCGAGAGATGGGAGGAAAATGAATCACTGATAGGCAGGTGGAAACCTGGCCAGTGCAGTAGTTCGCCCTTATATTGTGGCGCATTTGCTATAGTTTCAGGTATCTGTGGTCAGAATCAGAAGTCCCATTTAATATTTGTAAGTTTTAAGTTGGATATTGTTCTGAGTACTCTGATGAAATCTCTTGCCTTTCTGCCTTGTCTAGCCCAGTTCATGAGTCCTGTCTTTGTCTACCATTTCTGTACTACATCCAGTGCTTACTGCCCATCAGTCACCCAGGAGTACTCTTAGTTATCATATTGACTGTTGTGAGGTGTCATAGTGCTTGTGTTCAATTAACCCTTATTTCATTTAATAATGGCCGTAAAGCACAAGACTGGTAATGCAGGTGTGGTCATGAAGCAAGCAGGAAATAATACAGAATGGAAATAAGATTTGTAAAACTACGTCTGGTGTTAGCAAAGATATTCCAAGCTGTGGCCATTAGGTTTGAGATTAAAGTAAGAAAAGAAGATGGAATCCGGGACAGAGTTAGATAATACCACCAATGTGACAGATGATGAAACTGAGGTATACAAGGGTTGAATGATTCACCAACAATCACACAATCAATAAGAAGTAAGCCAGGAAATCACATCCAGGTTGTCAGGTTAGAGACATTATTTCTAGCATGACTACCCCATATTTCCTTATGAATTGTGCTTTAAAGTGAAGTTTTATTATGTCAAGATGACATTTTTAGAACATTCCCTAAAACAGCCAGAACTTTAACTGACGAGTTAAGAAGTGGTCTCTAAAGTCATGTTTAAATATGTTTTATTAGCTGGCTCCAGGAAGTAGACTACAAAATTATTTCTGGTTGTCTAGGAATGGAGCTCTGTGATAGAACACCTGCCCAACAAGTGCACAGCCCTGGGTTCCATCCCCAGAACTGCAAACAAGTCAAAACAACAAAACAATACCAATATATGTGTGTTGCTAGGTGTGGTGGTGCTTTAATCCCAGCACTTGAGTTCAAGGCCAGCCTGGTCTACATAGTGAGTTCCAGGCTACCTGGAGCTACAGGGAGACCAAATAGAAAGATGGAACAAAACAAACAAAAATTTGTGTGTTTGTAAGTTAAGGTTGTACCCTTCATTAGGAGACATACTTTTAAGAGCCTGCTCCTGAAAAAGCCAAGCGATAAATATGATTTATAAATGCAACTGAGAAAAGCAGATTTACTGAAAGCATTACTTGACTAATGAAAAACGCATTGTACTTTTTCTTTTGGCCAGTGGGAAGTGTTTTCCTTTTGGCTGGTGTGAATCATTTACTGCTTCCTGTCACCCTCCTAAACTTATGCAATTACAATGTGCTACAGGTTTTCAAGATGGTTTTATTTTGCAGTTGGATAAAAGAATCACATGATTTTTATTTCTCTAGTACACAGATACTTGGCTGGCTACTTTAAGTTCACAGTTAAGTCATATATAGATTACTATTCTCATAGAATAACATACTTAAACATTTGTGATTATTAATAGAGTTTTATTTATTTATTTATTTATTTATTTATTTATTTATTTATTTATATCTTAAATACTATTTTGTTTCTTTTTAAAAGCACTTGGGAGGCAGAGGCAGGCAGATCTCTGTGAATTCAAGGCCAGCCTTGTCTACACAATGAGTTCCAGGACAGCTGGGGCTACAGGGAGACCCTGTCTCAAAAAGACCAAAAAAAATTTTTATTTATTATTTTTATTTTATGTGTATGAGTGTATTGACTGCATGCACGTGAGTGCACCTGTCTTGTGCAATGCCACAGAGGTCAGAAGAGGGCTTTGGATTCCCCTGGAACTGGAGTTAAGGACGGTTCGGAGCCTCCATGTGGGTGCTGGGAATCGAACCCAGGTCCTCTGCAAGAGCAGTCAGTGCTCTTAACTGCTGAGCCATCTCTCCAGCCCCCTGAATTTATTTATTTTATGTGTATAAGTGTTTTGCCTGCATGTATGTAAATGGACCCATGTCCTGTAATTCCCAAAGAGGCCAGAAGAGGACATCAGATCCCCTGGAACTGGAGTTAAGGATGGTTGTTAACCACCATGTGGCCTTGAACTCCTGATCCTCTTGTCTCTGACTTTTAAGTGCTGGGATTACTGGCTTGCATCATTGTGACTGGCTTAAATTATGAATGCATTTAAGGGATGGGGCCAGAAATAATAATGGGCTCTAATGCCTTTTGAGCCCCTTTTCCACGGCTAGCATACACAGTAGGAGAATGTATTTATAAACATGGAAACCCAGACAGCAGGGAATTTCCTTTGACTTAGGACTGTATGATCAATGACACATACATTGAACAGCAGGCTGGGTTTTTTGTGAAGGGCCCAAGTTGGTGATGAACAAGTTTGTCATAACTCTGAGATTCCAGGGCTGCCATGGGAAGGAAATATTGTTGGCAAACGTTTATAAAGTCTCACAATTGTGAGGAGTGCCAAAGAGGGCCATTTTCAAGGGAAATGACTGTGGGCAGGATATGGTTGTTTTGGAAGTCTTCTTTGAAGGGTGACATTTAAATGAATGTTGAAAGATGAGCTAGAGTCAGGTAGGCTGGCATGTGTATGGGGGGGGGGAAGAAGGGGGCTGGGATGGTGAGTTGAATGACATGGGGTAGAGAAGTAACATAGTATATAAAGGCCCAAGAATCAAATGCAGCTGTGAGCTTACACAGCATGAAAAGGTGGCCAATGTGCTCAGAAACTTTATGAGAACAGAAGGGTGTTAGGAGGCAGAGGTGTGCAGGAGGCTTTGAGTGGACAGGTTTTATATATATCACATAAATAATTTTGTGCTTCTTTTGTGAGAGCAAAGGAGACCATGAGAGGTTTAAAGTAGGGAGGCAAGAGCCAATGAGATGGCTTGGCAGGAAAAGGTGCCCTGTATACATTTACATCATGTGCCCACACGGTGCATAGAAAAATAGAATGTCATAAATTTTTTAAAAAATTAAATAGGGAGGTGACCTGACCCTCTTTACATTTAGTTTAGTGGACTGTGTGTGTGTGTGACTAGTCATTTGACATGTTTGTGGAAGATGAGGTAGTGATGAAAGATAAGGAATAACCATGAGAAGAACTAGCTGTTCACAGAGCTAGGAAGTATTGGAGGAGGGAAGATCATGGATTTCAGGTGTGGACATGCTGAGTTTGAGGTAGACACCTGAGCAGAGACTCATAAGAGCAGAGACAAATAAGTTCAAAAAATTATATTAAAAGATTGTCGCTGGGTGTGGTGGCGCACGCTTTTAATCCCAGCACTTGGGAGGCAGAGGCAGGTGGATTTCTGTGAGTTCAAGGCCAGCCTGGTCTACATAGTGAGTTCCAGGACAGCTGGGGCTACAGGGAGACCCTGTCTCAAAAAGACAAAAAAAAAAAAAAAAAGATTGTCTAACTATTTGGAACAAAATAAATGCAATTCTGACTTCATGTCACACACTTAGATAAAGTGATGGGTGATGTGGTTCTTGGTCGCATACATGCTTATAGAATGATCATTGCTTAAGAGTGCTGAGCTGAGCTTTGTGCATCAATTTCAGAAGGGTGAAAAGCAGTGGTTTGAGGTGGGTAAGAGCTTCAGGCAGGTAAAAGTTGCTTTTAAGTGCACAAATTTAAGTGGCTGCAGGGACAAAATCATTCAACTCATAATTTCATTTCAGGTAAGTTGACCTGAACTCCAAAGGAGGCAGTGCTGTTGCAAGAAAGCATATTTATCTCTTTAACTAACAGTCAATTTTTTAATTTATTATTATTTTTTAATTTTATGTGTATGAGTGTATTACCTGCATGTATGTGAGTACACCCGTGTCATGCAATGCTGCGGAGGTCAGAAGAGAGCGTCTGATTCCCCTGGAACTGGAGTTAAGGACAGTTCGTAGCTGCCATATGGGTGCTGGGAATTGAACCTGGGCCCTCTGTAAGAGCAGTCAGTGCTCTTAACCACTGAGCTATCTCTCCAGCCCCCAAAATAACAGTCAAATTAACTATTTTGTACATTAATTTTGTATCAGTTATGCAAAATTATTAATTAGGTGCCATGCTAAGTTTGTGGGACATAACGTACTATAAGAATGATCACCACTCTCAAGAAGCTTATGATCGGTGTTGTAATTTATAAACAGTGTTTTAAGATGTGAAGATTTTCTATCTGATCTTAAAACTCCTTCTGTAATCTTTTAGAAACATGAGAATAGGACAATGCCAGAAGATAGAGATAGGCAATGGCTTCTACCTATGAAAGGGAAGGGAGAGGAGATTCTGATAATGAAATAAAATCTTCAGATGAGTTACTAAGATGTTTAGCTTTCACAAAGTACTACCACTGATTCAAAATAAATAATCCATGCCAAAAATAATGACTACATCTGCTTGGCTTGTTCACTGGGTAGACTGTCTCTACATTACTTGAAACTGGTTGATACCATCTCGTCTTACATTCTTGTGAGCAAGAGAATGTTCTCTACCAAAGGAAAAAAAAAACAAAACTGAAAACCTCTGGCTCTGATTGAGGTGGGTGCCTGGCTAGTTGAACAAGGTATTAGTTATCTCACAGAGTGAGTGATATAGCCCAGTGACAGCTGTCTAGGAACAAAGCTCTCATGTTCAGTACTTTTCTCTCATGACCTGTTAGAACAACTGTTTTTTTTTTCCTTTTTACTTTTTTTCACACGAATATGATGATAAAGTCAAAATCAAGGTAACTCAATGACAATTATTTAGGAATATTAATATTTTATATAAACAGTAAATTCAGTGTACTAGGTTATGAAAAACAATGATAATGTACAGTGGTGGCTACATGGATATTTGTCTTTAAAATTTGAATATATATATTTTGGCATATATTTTTTAAATAACTGAAAAATATGACAGAAATTGATGAAGTTAAAGCATGAGTTCTTTTTCTGAGCAGGAGAAAGTTTGGCATTTCTTTTTTCTTTAAGACTCTATTTAAAAACAGCATCTCATCTCTATTAAGATATCAAGTATAAAACTCATACAGTTTGGGTCAAATTACTGAAAAGCTATTTTTAGCAAGATTTCATGCTTCCTACATTGCTTGTTCTTTTAAAAATAAACCTCCTTTCTATTATGTACTATTTCAATTTCTTCGAAGAAATTTAGTTTAGAAAGAGTGAGTTACTCTAGCATTTATCTTGATTTTCCTTTTAAAAATATTTTCCTCATAAAATCTATTTACAACACAGAGTTGTGAGAGACAGGTGATAAAAGAATAGGTAGGCATGAGCATGAAGAACGATAACCTCCTACCCGGAGGTTATCGTTCTTCATGGAGGACGTTGGTGGAATGTTTTGTTGGTTACTTCTTGCTTCAACCAAGAGAGGCTTTGGGGACCCAGCACAACAGTCAACAGACTCCCATACCCCGTTGACACTGTTCAGTAGGATGTGGGCACTAGTCTGTTGATGTGCACAACTCTGCATGACCATTCGACAGTCTTGTGTTTCAATCACTCCATGTTTAAGAGAGAGGACCCTTTCATTGAAAACCACACATAGGATCTAAATTGAGATTTCTGAGGGCAAATCTTTTCTTCTTCTTCTTCTTCTTCTTCTTCTTCTTCTTCTTCTTCTTCTTCTTCTTCTTCTTCTTCTTCTTCTTCATTTTATTTTAGCTTTTTAAATTGAATTTTTGCGATTTTCATACAATATAATTTGATAGTAGTAGATCCCTTCCTTTCTCAGATCTCCCCTAACCTGGGGTGACTATCTCTAATGAGCATCTCAGCCTTGCTGTCTGGTATATATATATATATATATACACATATACATATATATGATATATAGATATAAAATAAGGCCTATAGAGTCTAATTTGTGTCCCCAAATGTTCAGTGTGGGTTCATCCCACACTGAAAAGCCTGATTAACCTACCAAGAGTCACATCCTTAAAAGAGACTGTCACTGCCCCTCCAAGCAGCCATCTGTTGTCACAATTTCCTTGGATTTGGCTGGGGCTTCTTACTCACTTCCTCATGTCTATGCTGATTGTGTCTGGTTTGAGCTTACATGGGACTTATGCATACTGTCATTATTTCTGTGATTTATATGAGTAACTGATCAGTTATCTGCAAGACTCTGTTTCCTTATGGTCATTCACTACTTTTAGCTCTTAGAATCTTTCTACCCCCTCTTCTGTAATGATCCCTGAGCCTTGAGAGGCAGAAGTTTGATATAGATGTCCTATTCAGTGATAAACACTCTTATAGACTCTTGTTCTCTATACACTGTCCTGTTGTGGGTTTCTGTGTTAATCACCATCTAGTGCATAAGGAAACTTCTCTGGTAAAAGTTGAGAAATGCGTTAATATATGGGTATAACAATAATTCATTAGGAGTCAGTTTAATACCATAACTATTTAGTAGGAGGAGTTGGCTTTTCAATGAAACTGGGTGGAAGGATAACCAAAAATTTGAATGGAAGAATTAAGAATCAAAGATTTTAATCTTTTTTAAATTTAATTTTATTATTTTTATTTTATGTGTATGAGTGTATTGCCTGAATGTAAGTGCACCTGTGTCATGCAATGCCTGTGGAGGACAGAAAAGGCCATCGGATGCCCTGGAACTGGAGTTACAGACAGTAGTTAGCTGCCATGTAGGTGCTGGGAGTTTTCTGCAAGAACAGCCAGTGTTCTTAACTGCTGAGCCATCTCTATAGCAAAAGATTTTAATCTTACCAAGATGAAATCTACTAGGGTTAAATGTCAAATTCTTTTGTTAGGTCCAGAAATCAAATTGCACTTATTCAGAGTGGGGAGACCCATACAGAAGAGTACTTAAAGACTTTAGTTGATTTAAATCTTCATGTATCCCCAGCGTGATGTGTTGTCAAAATTATTAAAGACAGCCTGGATGGGCTGGGGTAATGTGATGGCTCAGTCAGTAAAGTGCCTGCTTTGCAAGCATGACGATCCAAGTTTGGATATCAAGAAGTCATGTTAAACCCAGGCATGATGGAGTATTAGACAGATGGATCCCTGGAGCTCATTGACCAGCCAGCCTAGACAGTTGGTGTGTTTAGGTTCAGTAAGAGAGACCTTGTCTCAAAAAATAAAGTGGAAAGCAAACAAAAGAAGATAACCTGACATTGACCTGTGGCCTTCACATGCACATGTACACATGTGCATATACCCCCCTCTCACAAATATGTACATACAGTGCATTACCCCACCATGAAAAACAAATCCTGTCTGTTTAAACAGAACATGTCTCGGCTTAAAAGTTGCTTCCCCAAAGGACATCTTCTGGCACTTTTTCTCAGCTTGTATAAGGCAAACTTTCCATGTTCCTAGACACCTAGTACTTTGTTTCTTAGAACATTTTCTGCAACCTGTACCATATTGTTAATTATGTCTGCCCAAGAGTAGAAAGGCTGTTTTGTGTGTGGCTTGAGCTGCTCACTCTCAAGGTGATGTTGGATGACAGCTGTCATGATAGCCGAGGAATGGTCTTGCTACAGGTGGTGAGATGCTTTCAGATGGCCTTTTCATTTCTGATGGTTTAGTGATTTTACTTTCTTTCTTTCTTTCTTTCTTTCTTTCTTTCTTTCTTTCTTTCTTTCTTTCTTTCTTTCTTTCTTTCTTTCTTTCTTTCTTTCATTCTTCCAAGTCATAAAATAAGGCAGAGGCTAAAATAGAGACTGGTTGCCTTACATTCTGGTTGTCCTCTTGGGCAACAAGATCTGCTGTCTCTTATCCTTCACACTGGCTGAAGACTCCATGGTCTGTGTTTGCTCTGCATCCGTGTTATTATATTTACAATGAATATTATTCCTTTTTTGTCACAGGGGACATGTAGAGGTCAAAGAACAACTTTCCAGCATTGGTTCTTGCCTTTCATCTTGTTGATGCAGGATCTCAATTTGGCACTGCTTCACAGAAAACTTCAGGCTACCTGGCCCTCAGCTTCTGATGGATTCACTAGGGATGGAAAGCAGGTTGTGAGGTTTGGGAGGCAAAGCACTTTTACCCTTTGAGCCGCCTCTCTGCAGCCCCTGAACATTTTTCTCTTAAAGAGGATTTTTTTTCCTCAAAGACTTTTGATCCGGAGAATAGCAATTTTTCCATTTGTTTATAAATCTTTTGATCAACATGCTTAGAACACATTGTTTTTCCCAGCGAACGTGATTGAGAAAATTTCAGACAAGGGCAGTTGGGAGAGATGAAAAGCAATGTTGGTATCCATACATTTTAGTACACCCAATGTATGCTGAGTAACTGTGAACAGAGGCCAGAGGGGCAGAATGAAAATGCAGAAGTAATTATGCTTGTCAGTCTAAACACATAGAAAATAAGAAAACAGTAGATATGAGAGGGAATGTTCTGAAACCAAAAATCAGTGCTTTATAAAGCAGGTTCCAAGTGCTGTCCACATTATGGGGGCCTGTGTAGGACAATGACTTGCAGTGCTTTATATTCACCTGGGAGATGTATGTTGCCTGATGGACATTCAGGCGCCTAGGCTTGATAAATCAGCCTCTGCAGTGGGTCTGTGAAAAGAAACTTTATAAATGGAAAGTTTTGCTTTCCATCATCTGTGTTGACTGTACATCCCTGTTGATAAATCTTTGTGTTTTGTTTGTTGATTTGTAGATGGCTTAAATATATATATATATGATCCAAAATAAGTCAGGAGGAGGGACGTAGGTGCTGGAGAGAGGAAAGACTGTTTAGGGGGCCATGGTAGGGGCCACTTAAAGGTTCTGTGCCTTGATATTAACTGTAAGAGAGAACATTTGATCTTCTATTAGGGAAGTGATCAAATTCAGTGTTGTGGAGAAAGTGACCTTGATTGGGTCTATTTGAATGATACCTAGTCTGGCATTTCTTGTTTTCATGTCAAAAACTTGTTAATAGTAACGGTAAGAAATTTCAAATAACATTTATTTTATTTTATTTTATTTTCTGTGTTTTTGTACATATGTGTCTCTGTGAGTGTGCACAAGTGTGTCATGATGCATGTGTGGAAGACAGAGGACAACTTGTGGGAGTTGGTTCTCTTCAGGGGAGAAACATCATCCCCTAGAGGGTTCTTAGTCTCCTTCATAAAAGAACTTAAGAATGGACTCAAATGGAAACATTAGGACAATTTAATTAGAATTTAAAGAAAAATCCTCAGGGTAGGCAAGCTGGGATTCGCAGCAACTGCCTTGAGAAGGAGAATGGAGTGGGTAAGGGAAAAACAGCCACGAAGCCATGTTGGTGTAGAGCCTGCATGGAGGTCAGACACGTGAGACTAGCTGCTGCATGGAAAGGAGAAGGAAGCTTTAGAGAAACAGTAAAGAAATGCAAGATGCTGAAACAGCCCAAAGTGTTAAGGGAAGCATTCTTAGAAAGGGAGTACGGAGAAGAAAAGGAGTGAGATTGTGCTTTTCAGAATTTGCAGGCAGGACTCACAGCCACATGTCTGTGACCCAGGTCCACAAGAACCTCACTAAGAGTTCATCATCTCATTGAGGCACTAGGTATACCACCCATCTCTTTAGCACAATTTAAGGTTAAACCCACACTCGTAGGGGTGGTCCTATGACCTGGTGATTGACCTGGAAAAACTGGAAAGTTAACTAGGACAGGAATTCTTATTTTTTGACCAGTTAATCTTATGGGACTTTTTGCTACCTTAACACTATGTGGGTTTAGGGGATTGAACTCAGGTTATCAGGCCTGGCAGCAGACCCTTTTACCTGCTGAGCTATCTCGCAGACCCCCTACCTGCAGGAAGTGTGTATGTGTGTGTGTATGTGTGTGTAGAATTTTAGAGAATATTTTTAGTAGCACCTTGCCATAGTCTAGTGTTACAGCACCCCGACTACACATCTTCTGAGGTGATTCTAAAGATAAATGCAGCTGGTCACTGTTCTAGATGGACCCTCTTAGTTTGGAAAATATTTTGAACCTGTTTTATAAAACATTGCTTTGAGGTTTCCTTTAGTATCTATTCTTTTTTTTTTTTTTTTTTTTTTTTTCAGTCTGTGAATCATCTCTTTTTAGTCAGGTTGACAGCTATAACTGCTTCTCCATGTTCACTATATCTTATACCAGTGAGGCAGCAGCTGAGGTTCAGAGGGGTTAGGGACTGGGTGTGGAGGATTTAACTAGTGACAGTATCTTCTGCTTCAGCACAACTCCTGGTTTGAATTGGTGGGCTGTTAAAAGTCGCATCTAAGAAAAGCAGTTATTAGACTTGCAAGCTCTAAGTCCTATTTTTACCTCTATTTATTGGCCTCTGGTGAGAGCCTAACTTTTCACAGGACCATACTAGAATTCTGTGTTCACTGATTGAAGGGCAAGTGATTTACTCTGAAAGGACATGTTCACTAACTCTAAATTGCTTGTTGCTCTCTAATGGAGAGGACATCAGATCGTATACTCAGAAAGCATTAACTCTTCTTTTTGCTGAGCCTCTTCATTCTAGACTTCCAAAGGGGGCAGGGAAGTATAGATCACCTGGAGCTTAGTGATCCTTAAGCAGCCCTTCCTTGTGAGCTCAGTCCTTATGGAGAGACTACACAATGCAACCTCAATTTGTGGTTCATTTCTTCTTCATTTTCTTTTTCCTCTTTCCTCCTCCTCTTCCTCCTATTCATTTTATTTTTTCCTTTATTTTTCTTATTTTTGTTGAGATAGGGTCTTGCTGTGTAGTTCAGGCTAGCCTTGAACTTGCTATGTTGCCTGGGATGTCCTTGAACTCATGGTAGTCATTCTGCCTCAGCCTCTTGAGTGCTGGGATTACAGTCACATGCCATTGCACCTGAACTCTTTTTCCGTTTTTATTGTTTGTGTTTCAGTTGTTAAAAAACATGTCAATGCAAAAAAATATGTTGGTGCAGACATACACAAAAATATTCTTTTGGAGTAAAATTAAAAGTTAATAAATACGAAGTTCCTAGAAATCTTTGCAATATATTTAGCAATACAGATTGCTTGATATAATTATGGCAGACTTGATATGGTTTTCTTTGTTTTATTCTGAGGTATTCTAGCTTTTCTTCCTTTGACAAAAGAACTTGACTTTGTTTTTGAACTTCAGGGTTCAATTCTTGAAGGATTACAATTAAAAAATCTTGAGAAGATAGTACCATGTAGGCAATCAGTTTTTAAAAATTCTTATTGATATACATTCTTTAGGCATTTATGTGTCCGGTTTGAATATAGAGTGAGAAGTTTCATGCCCCCTCTAAGCTGGCAAGTATGTAGGCACTCCCCATTTGTGTTTTGTTGGGTTGACTGACTTAGATAAAATTTGAGGAGGAATTAATTACAGGTAGATGATGACCTGGTATACCCTAATACATTAAGTCAGTTTTTTGGTCCTTGATCAACCTAATACCTTATTTTATTTATTTAACCTATTTAACTTGTACTAAGAGATAATAAGCCAACATTAAGACCTGGAAAGAATTTATACAGTTTCCATCATTCTACAACTTCTCCTGGAGGCTTCACTTCCCATTTTCAGTTCTGTAGATTTCCAGGCTTCCCCTGAGGAAATCAGTCGCTTGCTGCTTCAGGTGATCCCTAGTTATTGAGTAAAACAACTACTAACCCCTGGAGGTACTTTACCACACTGTGCTGAATGCCTTTCAGGTGTTATTAACTGCTCACAGGGATGCTATCCATGAACAAACTAGATACAGAGGCAACCTGTCTGGGGATACCCATCTATTAAACAGTAGGGCTTGGCTTTGAACTTATTGAATATAGGAGAAGCCAGCAGTCTTTGATGAACACATTTGGGGCTTTAGCTTACTCCTGGGTGCTTTCTGACCCATCTTGCCTGCCTTTCATTTCCAGGTTCCATACATGCTGATAGACGCAGATTTCTTCATCTCTCACTGCGTGCTGTCCCACTAAACACTCCCTGTGCCCTCCCTTGGTGAAGAGCAGCATTACCCGGTCACTCACTCAAGATGAGAAACTGTTCTGGATTGCTTTCTTTTCACTGCTTCCCTCCTGAAACCCAAGCTCTCTGTTGTCTGCTTCTGTGTCTCCAAGTTCATCTCTCATCCCAGTCCTTGCCTGCTCTATCCCAGTAGCACCTGTCTTCTCTCTGCTTTAAGAATGCATCATTTATTCAAATCTTCAGGCATGCGTCTTAGCTGTTTTTCCGTCCTTGAATGCTCTTCCTTTAGACCTTTGCACTGCTGGGCCTTTTTTTTTTTTTTTCTTTCCACATTTCTGTGTGACTATCACCTCCCCAAAGATGTCTTCCCTGACCTTTTGGCCAGATACAGTTGATAAGCTCCCTTGATCATATCAGCTTAACCTCAAGTGGCACATATCATTTATCACTAGATATTATTTTCTCTTTTTTTTTGACTATTTGTAATTGCTCCATGTGATGGAAACTCGTCTGCTCTATTCATCTTTGAATCCGAAGCACCTAGAGTTGTGTCTTGCACAGAATCAAAATAATATTAATAAGAACTGATATTTATGCAGCATTTACAATGTGCTTAGGCAAACAAATTCAACGTATAATGCATTCATAGGGAATGGAATTCAAAATAATATACATATAATGAATTTATTGTACATGCTGTAATATATAAACATACCTAATGTAAATTAGATGTATGTCTCAATAGTGATATAATAACAATTCATTTTTTTTGAGACAGGGTCTCATTATATATATTATGTAGCCTTGGCTGGCCTGGAACTTGCTATGTAGACCAGTCTGGCCTCCAACTCACAGAGATCTGCCTGTCTCTGGCTGCTGAGTGCAGGGATTAAAGGCATGTACCATCACACTCGGCTGACAACACCTGTTTTCATGTGGGTTTAGTGAGAATTAATTGAAGTAGAAATTGTTTTCATTACTTCTTACCATGACAAGAGGCATCATCCTGATTATTATTATAAGTATTATGTCTGGTCTGTAGATGGAAAAATTGACTTACCCAAGATGAACCCAAGAA